ATTTAGTTCAGTCACAGATATTTGCTTAGCACGTGACAGGCCTCAGATTTAGGTCACCGGAACTATGGGAGGTGGCCTTGGCAGGAGTTTTTAAATTGTGACTGCCGGTAGTAACCAAAGCTGTGGAAAGGGACTATCTTCCCGTTCTAGGAGCTAGCTTATGACTGTCTGTTAGGTCCCAGAGTGGCCCCAGACAAATCTAAATTCACCCCAGGACCTCTGGAGCTTGAAGAAATATACACATTGCGCCTCTCTTGCTTAGCATTGGGTTTGTGTGTGCAGAATCCCATCCCCCAGCTTGGAAAGCTGGCATGCCCTTTAAGGGGTTCAGGGTGTATCTTAAAGGACTGAGCTTGAAGATCTCAGTGGCTTATGCTCAAGCTTCGAAAGGGAAGCAAGATTTTCCTCTGATGGAATCTGCGCTCCACCCCTTCCTGGAGAGGTTGCTGGCATCCTTTCTTTGGAATACAAGATTTCTTCATCCCTTCAGCCCTCTGGAGCTTTAAGGGAAACTTCTTTTAATCATACAGGACTCAGTAGACAGCACAACATGATTTGAATAAGATCCATTTATTTAAAATTAGAATCTGCTATAAAAACAGACAAACGGCATACCATTCCCAGAGGAATTGAATTACTTCTAGTTAACAATGAGTTCTATTAGAACTAATTTTAGGCGGTTATAAATAAGCTGGCCACAGCTTTCAAGAATGAAATGGTTGGAGGATGAGGTCAGGGGATCCCCTCTGAGCTGTTGGAAGGGTAATCATCAAAGGCGGTCCCTAGTTTCTTTTCCTAAGTCCTGTAAGAGTTTTCATGACTCCTGCAGGAGCCCTGAACTCAGGGTGGAAGAAACTAGAGGGTATCACAGCAAATGATGCTTGTGGCTATAAAGTGTGGCCAGTCCTAGAATGGAAGCTTCAGTTGGCTTCCCAAAGAAGACCCCCCCCCCCTTATGTAACATACTTTCCCTTAGAACACTCAAGTACTACAAAGTGCTCCTGTGGAAACAGCTTAAACATAGGTAAAAATAATAAATAGTTTGCAATTATAATTATAATTATAATATTTGGCTTCTTTCTAAATAGTTCACAGAGAAGCTCAGTGAATAAATAGAATGGGATCTGAGGTATCAGAGGTAATAAATACTTTGGAGAGAGGTACAATGAGGTTTTCCAAGGAGTTGTGTTTGCTGGCTAAGATCCCCGGATCAGATCTTGAGAGCTCCGTTTTATCCCTGGCATCCTGTAGACTCAGCACACATGCTCTGGTGTTTTAGCTTTTCATCTTGATGGTCATGTATTCTTCTATGCAGTTGATGAAGATGTCAAACTCATTCATGGCCTTATAGACACCTTTCTCCTGGAGCTGCGTGGGGAGAGAAAACACCTGGTGAAGACTTATTGAAGGGCTGAGGAGATCCTTGTACTCGGCTGGGCAGGACCCTGGACACAGAAGGCTCCCTGCTTTCTTGTGTTGGAACCTTGGGAACTCAAGGATTTGTCCCCCTGCCTTGGGAACGGGCTGTGCCCTCGCCTGCCCTGTCTCCCAGCTTTCAGCTCTGCCAGTAGTCAGCAAGGGGAAGCTCGTTCTCAAAGCACCATCTTCAGAATGGCCATTTTTTTTTTTTTAGATCTTTTCACCATTTTTAGAGGCCCATGCTCACACAGTGCTTATGCAGAATGTTACGCAAAGTTGTTAGAGGAGACAGTCTGAGAGCAGGATAGTGACAGAGAAAGACAAGGAATTTTTTTTTAATGCATTGGGCTTTTAGGCCTACTAGTAGTCAAGGCACTGATGCTGGAATCCTGCTAGGTGCCTCTGCCTAGCCCACGGAGACGATGTAGGCCACATGGCTTCTGGGAACTCGGGTTGAATGGGTTCACAGGCGGTTGGAACTGTGAAACCTCATTTTGTTCGCCAGCTGAAAAGTGCACTGGGACACATAAGAATTCTGCTTCCTGCTCGTTCTGATTTTTGGGGCATCCAGCCTGAGCCCCAAGATGTGCCTGTGTGCATTAGTTCATGTCTGCTTTCTGCACTTGTGGGTTCAGCCCATTTCCCAACAAGGTGCTTTCTGTACTTTCTGTTTCCTTTGTCACTCTCCCCAGCACCTAAGGCTCGGTGCTCATAGGTTGTCTGGTCAGTCTAAGCTGAAAGCCTGCCTAGGGGAGGCAGTCATTTAGAAACTGCTAGAGACGCTTTGCAGAAAACAAATGTGACTGACTGAGGTGGTGGTTCCTAACTGGCAGAGGAGGTCACACGATTTGCCGGGTTCCCACACTCCAGGTGCAGATTTCGGTCCCTCCCCGCTTCTGCCCTCTGGTGAGTGGACAGGGGTCACGGTACACACACCCTCTTTGCCACCCCACCCCTCAAGCTTACCTTATTAAAATCATTCTTCACCTGCTCCACAGCCTTGCTTTTGTTTTCACAGGGGAGAAATCGATGCTGTAGAAGAAAAAGAATGTGTTAATAGTTCTAGTTCCAATGTCCATGGCTTTGGCGGGGCGGTGGGGGGGCAACCTTGTTGTGTGATGAAGGGGCCAGATTCATCTCTCAGCTGCCAGGGAGAACTAAGCCCTGTTTGGTCCTTATCTATTACTCTGGGGCAGAGGAGAACAGCCCAGGAAGATGCAATGTATGTCTTTGGAATCACTAAGATGTTTGCAAAGCATGGATCTGAACTCAGGTCTTTGTCTCTCAAAACCCCAAAACATCTATTGTGTTTCACAAGCCTCTTCTCGTCTACCTCCAATCTCAACTGCCGTGTGCTATGTCTAGGTATCTGAGAGTGGAGATGCAGTCTCAGCTACTGGGGCCAAATCCTCAGCTTAGAACTATTGCACAAATAGACTCCAACTGCTTTCTCAGTGTCAGTGAGAGAAGAAAGCAGCCCACCAGCGGTCAAGGCGCCACTTCAGTCAGGGACACAGATTCTCTGGGTCTATTTGTCATGGATCCTGGTTTAGGGACAGTGGGGGCTCTGGCCCTTGGCCTGCCAGCCCAGTGTGTTGCTGAATTTGCTTTCCAAAAGAAGAGAGGAAGAGGTGAATGTCTTCCTCTGCTTGGGAGTCTTAGTCTGCAGCCTGGGGCTCAAGTCCAAGAGACGAGAGAGCCGTAACTGAAGTCCTGGCCTTCCCATGAAGAGAGAGAGAGAGAGGAGTAGCTAATAGCCCACAATGACTCACAAATAACAGGAAGGCTGTACGCAAATCTTCACGTGTGAGCGCCTCAAGGCCACCCCCACTCTTGCTCAGAGACAGACTAGCCGGGAGCTCTCAGGAGAGGTGCCTGTGTCGGTTTACCTACTCCCCAGCCGAGTCTGTGTGTGGCCTGGCTGAGCTGTAGAAGGTTGTGTTTCTGGGGTGGCTCCAAGGGAAAGGATTGGTCTGCTACTCACACAGCGCTGCAGCTGCCTCCTGAGGGTCTTCAGCTTCTCTCCCAGGGAGTTCAAATGCTCCTTGATTTCTGGGCCATGGTTCTCTGCCTGGGGCATCACCTCTACCAGGTAAAACTGGATCATTTCTGACAAGGTTTGGCAACCCAAGTAACCCTAGAGGCAGGAATCAAAGGTTGGGCTTACTGAAATGATGGCCTGTTGTAACTAAACTTGATGGACAGTTTTGTCCCTAGGGAACCCCCCCCCCCCCCGCACCCCTCTCTCTCTAGTTACATTCTCTCCCTTCACCACAGAATGAGCTCTTCATAACCCTTGACTGCCGGCAATATGCTGACTTAAGGTCTTCCCACTTCTCCTTTCGAAAGCTCCGGCATCAGACCCAGCGCCCCTTGTCTCAAACAGCGCCTCCCTTCCCATTGCTTTCCAGCACCCATTGCTTTCCAGCACCCATTGCTTAACTCATACCTTAAAGTCCTGCAGCAAGGCATCGGTGAGCAGTATGTTGTCCAGCTGGTCCTTCTTTTGCTGCAAGAACAGAAGGAGTGTGAATGCAAGGGCTAAGGTGAACACCTGACATGCATGTCCTCCGTTTGTAGAGGTTTGAATTAGTAATCCATGTAGCCCTGGCAAATATTGAAAGGGAAGTTTTAAAAGCAGGATTTGATGGTGCTAGAGCCTGGAGTCAAATCAAAGTCCTCCTTCTTAGGATCACATTATTTAAAAGACTTGAGCAGACAGGGAGAAGTTTGAGCACCCCTGTAACCCTCCCTTTCTGGAGTCCCTTACGGAGAGAGAGTCTCTTAGTTGCGTGGCTCTGCCTTCTCTGGAAGAGGAATCCTCCTGTAATGCAAGTTCTCCGTGCCTGGTGCTGCCCCAGATCTGAAGACTAAGCAGAGGCAGCATGTGCTTCCGGCCACGGACTTTTGTCCCAGTCAACAAAATATGGAGCTTCCTTGGAAACTCATCAGAAAGTTCTTGAGCATGGGAGAGACACACATTCACCTTCCCGGTGGCTTTTCCTGTGTGCCTGGCTTAGTCTAGGACTCTCTGGGTTTAAGTCTAAGGGGAATAGATGCTGTGGACAGAGGGGGAGCAGGAGGTGGGAGCGGGAAGAGGTGGGAGCAGGAAGAGGAGCAGGCGGGCGATTTCTACAGTTCCATTGGAATGTGTGTTTCAGACCATCCCAGGAAGAAATAGCGAGGCATCATACTCACAAAGAAAGTCTTCACCTGGCTGAAGGCTGTTCGCAGCTCTCGGAGCATGTGGGTCTGACTGACGCGGAAGTGGGTGCAATTATTCCCATCCCGGGGGTGCTGGCCTCTGCTGGTCCCCACTCCAGCCAGTACGAGCACACAGCAGAGCAGTGCTGAGCCAGGCATGGTGGAGGTGGAACTCTGTCTTCTGCAAGGCTGCCTTGTGGCTCTGGTACTGCAAGAGCAAGCCCCTAAAGTGTCCTCCTCCACTCCCGTGTCCCTCTTTTATACTGAAGGTACAGGGGCCTCTCCATTTACAAATTTCCTGGCAAAGATTATTCAAGCTCCTCCTCCTCCTCCCTCTAGACCATGCAGTTCTCAAAGCTCTTCCTCCCTCTTCTCGACCATGCAATTAATTTTTTCTTTTTTTTATTTCTGCATTGTAAGCAAAAGAACTGTTAAATGAACTTCTGCTTATAGCTATATTTAGATGGGCTACCTCGCTTTTAAAAAGTGTTTTTTTTTTTTTTTTTTTTTTTTTTGCTTCTCAATACAAAAAGTCTCGCTTCCTGGGGCCAGACAGCTGTTCTGTGTTGTTCAGAGGGCTACAACTGTGAGTTCCATTCACGCACTCTTAGGTCACAATGACGTGGATAAATGGACCATTTTAGAACATATTAGGATTGAGAAATAATTGGTTCCCCCAATCAACCTGGGTTGAAGAGCCACTATTTCCTGCTGAGTAGGAATTCACCTTAGCACACAGTTTACTCAAGGAAACACACATGTGCCGCTGACCCTTAGAACTCACTGTCTTCTGCTTCTTCCATATCTTGTTCAAGACTATCCCGTGAAAAGGTGTGTGTGTGTGTGTGTGTGTGTGGTGGGACAGCTGGTCAGAGTCGAGTTCCAGAACTTCCTCTGGTCCTTGCTTCATTGAGAATCTCGGGTTCTAGCATGGGAAGTTAGGGGAAGGAGCTCAGACTTCTGGGGGGCTTGCCTCGCCTGTCAGGTATCCCTCCCCATGGACCTGTTTCACAGAGTCCCAGGCTTGGAGATGTGTAACCTGTCCAGCCACCTATCATTGCTGAAGGGCAGAGGTGGTGACATTAGTACAGATACCTGGGAAGTCTCTGGGAATCCTTTAGTTATGCCCAGACATTCCCTGCTGCAGGGCCTTCTAACTCAGTTAGGGTGGAAAGAACACTGGCCTGGAGTCCTCCTTTGCTTTTTCACTCTGTATCCTGGGCGAATCACTTGTCCTAATACCTGTTTTCTGCTTGACCCAAGGGGCCATGGTTCATGTCCAGTTGGCTAGGGAGCTCTTTGCTTAAATAATGGTAGACCCATGTGGAGGGTACTCCTCAGGGTTCTCCGATCTCCTTATCTTCCTCCTTCATTATGTATACAATATTCTTTCTGTGTGTATGCCTGAAGGCCAGAAGAGGGCACCAGACCTCATTATAGATGGTTGTGAGCCACCATGTGGTTGCTGGGAATTGAACTCAGGACCTTTGGAAGAGCAGGCAATGCTTTTAACCACTGAGCCATCTCTCCAGCCCTATCTTCCTCCTTCAGTTTGGAGACTCTCTGTTGGCACAGGGTTCCAAGTCTGCCCCATTGGAGAGGGTTACTACAGCAGAGCTAGTGGGCCAGTCTTGCCTGATGTGGTGCCTGGTGGACCAGGATCAAGGGCCCTGGCCTCTCCTGCCAGCACTCTGGGAAGTGTCAGTGCAGAAGCTTACTAACTGTGGAGGGAAGAAGAATCTTCCAGAAGTTGAAATGGAGTTGACTCAAGAGCTGCCGCTCCTGTGTATTATAGGCTGAGCTCTACCAACTACCGGAGCAGAGCAAGGGGTCAGGCAGGCCTCCATTCCTTTCACTTTCTCCTTCCCCTTTGACTCCTGGGTTCGCTGGAATATTTGTTTCTGCACGCAGAAGCAACCCGCGCTCTGCCTGCATGTTTTTGCTGTTGACACAGTGCTGTTGACCAGATAAGCCAGGGGACCTGAATCCCAGGTGAGGCTTGAGTTGTTCCTTCACTTAGACAGCATGGACCTTCATGGCCCTTCCTCCCAGCTGTGTCCTGTACTCATTCCACTGGGGCAGCCACCAACCTCTGCTGCCATCCTGCACAGCCTTTGTCTTCCCGAGCACTTTGTGTTTTTCTTTGTGTCTACAGAAGGCAGCAGCTGTCCTTGGGACTGGCACTGGACAGCTCTGATTCAGGGCTAGAGGCTGGAACACCAGGAAGCAGAGGTCTGGGAGTCCAACTCCGGGGGAGAGGCGGTAACTCTTACATCTTAGAGTTCTTTCTTCTAGAGTTTTCTTTTACATGTGCACACCAAACTATTTCGTAATACCTTAACTTAGAACATAAATATATTAGCATGTACTTAATTATAGTATATAATCTATGCATCATATTTACATATTAGTATCTTAATAGTGTCTGAGCATATACTATTACTATAATATAATTAGTTTGGAATATATTTCTATTAATATAGTATTAGTTTTATGAATATGCTATATATTACTGTATTAATATGTCACACGTGTTTGCAGTCCACAGTCTCACGATGACAGGAAGAAGAAAGATGTATGAAAGTTATATATATTTCTTGTTAATGCGTATTCAACTAAACGGGGTTGGGGTTGGGACCTGCGTTCTTTATTCATTCTGAAATGCAGAGCCAGTAATCCTCAGCCATTTGTCAAGTAGTTGCCCCGCCCTTTCCCCACTGATTTCAAATTGTTGCTCACTCTCTCCTCGACATTTCAGATTCTCAATGGTCCTCAGTAACCTCAGGTGAGCGCCGTGGTGCCAAGTCTGTCTTTAGCCAGGGAGGGACCATGCCGAGCGTGTCTCTCTCAAGTCTGGGAGGACAACTGCTCCACTGAGAAGCCTTCAGCACACACTGGGAAAAGCCCCAAAGCCACAGCTCCATCTGAGACATAAATGCCAAGAATTGCACGGCAGGAGGGTTGAACTCGGGTTTCAGGACAAGGGAAGTGCCCATGAGGGGGAAGTGAGAGCGGATGCCTGGGGAGAGGTGGCATCGACTCAGCCTGTGAGCTGTCTGGATCTGTTAATTCAGAACGGCATAACCGGTAAACATCGATCTGTGCATTCCTTGGGAACAAATGTCCTGAGTCAGTCCCGAACCTAGGGAAGTTGAATTTAAATAAATTTTCCCCTGGGAGATCAGACAGAGGCAGTGGGAGGGGGGTGTGGAAGGCTATGTCTCCTCTACTGCCCTTGTTCCAAAATATCCCCTATTTCTAAATGTCAGCTGCCAATGAAAGTTTTGTAAAGCACGGCTTAAAAAGAAAGTGTTTGTCTGTCTGACTAGGTGTGCTTCTCTAGCTGAGGAATGCCTCGAACGCACCATCTTCATATCTTAACTTCCAGAGCTCCAGGACGACATGTTCAGCTTGAGATCTGATTTTTTCAAAATTCTCACCAAATAAATACAGAGGCTGGCGGTCTCTTGCTGGTATTTCACTCACACACCGCCAGGCCCTTTACTGTGTTCTGTCTCCTCCCCCATCCATCATTGCAAGATGTCAAGATGTCAAGAAGTGGTGAATTCCAAGTTCAGGGGCTCTACTTGGCAAATCTCACACCTTAGCTGCAGCGGGATCCGGGTAGAAAAGAATTGTATGGCACACATGTTCGCACGAGTAGATTTTAGAGAGTCTTATGTACAATGTCCAGGATCTTATGAGGAATCCACTCATGCCCAGCAAAAATGGCATCTCTCTTGCTATCATTGCCTCATGCCTTTCAGCAATTCTAGAGAACAGACTGGGAGCCCTGTGTGTACACTGGAGCTGCCAGGGAAAGGCTGAGGGACCCAGGTTGCTGGACTCAGGGATCAGTCAGATTGCCTGGCAACAGAGTCACCGTGGAGCACAAGTGTGCGATACAGGTAGAGAGAGTAGGGTTGCTCAGACCTGATCAAAAGTCTTTTAAGATCTTGATCTTATTTGCTATTAGTGGTTGACTTTTTTGGGTGGGGCAGGGAGAGACTACGGAGATGTCTCAGCCCCAAAGAGTGTGTGCTGCTCTTTCTGAGGACTGGAGTTTAGTGCCCAGTTGCCAGCCACACTGCCTGCAAGCAACTCCAGCCCTAGGGGATCTAATCGACTTTTCAGGTCTATGTGAGCATCCTTATCCATGTGGGAATAGCCACTCATATGGATATACAACACATACACAGAGTTAAATAAATAATAAAATCTTCAAAAAACTCTTTAAAAGGCTGATAATGGGAGTTTCATTTCTTCTTATCTAGCTTGTAAAATAGTTTCACTTTAATTTTAAGCGAAACCATCTTAAGTGTTTTACATTTCTAGTGTTTCCCGAATAACCTTCGTTAGTGACCTGGACAGAGTTTCCCCAATGGTTTCAATGCATCCGGCTCCTCTTGTACCACATACACACAGTGTGACTATGTAGGCCCAGGGGACGGGTCTCCCACCAGTGGCTTCCTCAAAACAACCCCTCTGACTTCGGTCTTGTGTTCTTTAGAAATATTTTGGAATGAAGACCTGGAGGGTCAGAAATTTAGGAGGAGCCCAAGTTAAGGTTAGCCTCAGGGCAAATCAAGCCAGGGTTATGCAAACTGGCTTGGATGTCCTGAGAACTGTGGCCAGCAGATGTTGCGACGCACAGCGGAAGGGCAGATCACTGGACAGCCAACATGGAATTTCCCTTTGTGTAACTCTGGTGCTACATAAGCAATTCGTTCACTTTACTCAGGGACCAACACCTTGCTCTCCAACGTCTCACGCTCGTCTCATCAGAGATATCAGGTCTTATTTCTAGCTACTCAAAGGTGACAGCCATTTGGGCAGTCTCTGGGATCACCCAGGATAACTCTAGGTACCTGAGCCTGGGGCAACAGGGGCCTCTCTCAGCTGCAGAATTTGTCCTTTGATGGGATTTAGTTTATGCAACTCTTCTCTCTATGGTTGATACTTCAAACCCTACAGACAGGTCTTAGCAGGGGTGGCTTCTAGGACCGTGACTTTAGCCATCACACAGGGGTTCATGATTAAAAGGACCTTGCCTCACTCTCCTGAAATTCTTCGTGACTGATCAGCAGGGAACCTTGTTTCTTCACTTTGAACTGGGCCCTCAATTTATATAGTCCAGTGGTCCTCAACCTCCCTAATGCAGCGCCCCTTTAGTACAGTTCCTTATATTGTGGTGACCCCCAACCATAAAATTATTTTCATTGCTTCTTCATAACTGTAATTTTGCTACTGTTATGAATTGTAATGTAAATATCTGTTTTCTGGTGGTCTTAGGTGATCCCTGTGAAAAGGTGGCTTGACCCCCAAAGGGGTTGCAATTCACAGGTTGAGAACCTCTGATGTAGTATCTTAATTAAAGTGTTCTTTCTGTTATGTCATCTTTGGCTGGCACCGTAGACAGATCCACCATCCATCTCAAAGATACTTTGTTCGTTCCTCCCTCCCCTCCACCAATCTTTGTCCGATGGATAACTAAGTCCTCTGGATTTTTCTTCATTTGTTCATGTCTCTTGATCTCTAATTCAGAGTGATCATTTGTGGACACCAAGAAGACTAGGACTCTTCTCCAGTGGCTTCCAGCTTTTCTTCTTTTGGTAAAATAAAGACTGGCCTGAAGCTCACAATGGTTGGTTTTGAACTTAGGATGCTACCCATTCCTCTACCTCCCAGAACTCATCTTATTCTTTTGAAAAGATTGATTTTATTTCTAATTATGTGTATATGTGTGTGGGAATGTGTACATGTGAATGTCCATGGAATCCAGAAGATTCCATGCTGGATCCCTTAGAACTAGAGTTCCAGGTGGTTGTAGCCTCCTGATATGGGTGCAAACTCAGGTCCTTTGTTAAAATTATTTGTACTTCACCACTGAGCCATCTCTCTAGGCCAAAGATTCACATTCTTAACACTTAAAGAGACTTATTTACCACTTGACCCTGTCCATTGCTCTGCTTCAATTTTCTACTTTCCTCTGTAATCTAGCCTCTTTCATTTCTGTCCATTTTTTCATTCAAATGATCCATACTTTCTCTACCACAGGCCTTTGAATGTTTAGTTTTTCATACTCTTCCTCTTTTTCCCTGCTGAGTTCTTTCAGCTTAGATGCACTTCTTTATCTGATTTTTCTTTTATTTCCCAGGCCAGGCCAGATCCTCTGGGGATCTTGTACTTCAAGGATCTTGTGCTCTTCCTGTGTCTGACTCATGTCAGTACCTGTGCACGTGACAATCAGATTGTCTGCTCTCCACCTCATCACTGTAACCAGCATAGCTCAGGGCTCCTGTCTGTATTGAAGCATCGTTTGCCCATGGCACAGCTCTGGACACATTGAAAGCTGTGGTGCTTGACAACAGGGCCGTTGCACAGACAAACTTACAGCAGTTGTAATAGCACACACAAGGCCTGAACAAATTCAAGCCAGACAAAATCCCAACATGGAGATGTGGGGGGGGGGGATGAAGATGGGTATGAAGCCCCACCCATGGGTGAGGACCTATTGGCAATGGATAGCTGCTGAGTTGAGTGGACAGGGAGGTAGGGATGGATCTGGGAGGAGTCAGAGGGATGGGTATCCATAAATATATCTCATGAGATTCTCAAAGAATTAATTCAAACATTTCTTAAATATTTGATGGTTGATTGGATGACTTTTTGAAAATATGTTCAAGTTGGTCTCGAACTCCTGAGCTGCTAGAATTATGGGTGTGCCCCTCTACATCTAGCATGGTGTCCTAGAATTTTGTACCTCCAGTGGCTCCATGTCGGTTGCTATTCCATTTTATATAATGTAAAGGATGGGTTCATTTGGAGAAATAATTATAAGTACAAATGGCATGCCTACTTCCATGATTACCTTACAGTTAAAAGAAAAGAAAAGAAAAGAAAAAGTTGACCTGCCTACACACCAGCCTCTTCCAGAGGGGTATTAACTCAATCTTCCCTGATTGCTGGAACGCAAACAGTGCCTCATAAGGAGGAGGTCAGAAAAGAGGGTGGGTTAGGCATTATACAATCCGTACTTCTTCATTCTCACACGAGTAGAAATGATACTAGAGAAGGAAATGACACTCCCAGGCGCTACCAAGGCTAACTCCAAAGGTGGGATCTAAGCCCAATTCTCATTCGTTTATTAGTAGCTAATTCTTGATTAAGTAGTAAGTGAGTTCTTGGAGCCCACCAACATCTGAGACATTATTCTGGGATTTGTGCAGTGCGTGGGTTTTGTGGTAATGAGGAGAAACTAAAGGTCTGAAATTAGTTTTTCTCCCACCGAGCGCTATGACTCTTCTGCACTCATTACACCCAGCCTCGTGTTTAGGAACTGGCTTTGAGGTGGGGGTGCTGAGTTATCTTTACCTCAGGGCAATGGTCAGGCCTTGACTGAGGAACACGAAAGCTTGGCATCTGTTTTCTCACTGTAGCACCTCAACACACCATCTCCTTCCAGAAACTCGAAATCATCCTAGTTCTTGGATCGGAAACTTCAAGCCGAGATCTTTGCTATTCTGGAAACTTCTTCCTCCCTCTGGGAGTCGGAGAATTGTCAGAGCCAGTTGTCAAAGCTATTTTGAAGATCTAGAATTTCATGGTCATTCCCCTCTCCCCGCCCCTTGCCGACTATGCCCCTTGGCGGAAATTAGTTGGCACCAAAGGTTCCGATGTGTATTTTCCCTGCCAAAACCCCCGGTCAGCACAAGACCAGGCCCTGTAGTTTCTACTAGTGTGTGCTCCTGCCCCTCTCTGGAAGTGCCATTCTGTAAGAGAAAGAAAGAAACCCTTTCCTGGGGGCAGCTTTTGCGTGTTCACCTGTGTTTCCTTCTCGCCATCCTGGCCCCCAGTGCTTTGAGGTTGCAGTTTCGTTGTGAGTCAAGCATGCTGAGAGCAGTGGAAACCAGAGAGGCCTTCACGGAGTGGCAGGACATGATGCTGCCTTTTCCTCAAGAGCATGGCCAGAGTGGCGACCGGGGTGTGGGAGGGGGGTGGCTGGTTTCTCGGATTGACTGTGTCAGGGAGAAATTACTGGAAAACCCTCGAGAGCACCACATCTATTCCGAATGGCAGACACTTTCTTAAAAAATAATTTATACACAGTAGGGTTTGGTGGAGCCTACCTCATCTTAACACTTGGGAATCAGAGGCAGGAAATTCACTAGCTAAGACAAATCTGGACTACAGACCGATACCCTGTTTTAACAAACAGTCTCTAACTACGAAACAAGCAGCTAACCCACCAAATAAGAAAGTACGAAATGGCTCACATCGTGCTGGAACACACCCACGACACTTT